ATATATATATATATATATATTTATAGTAATAAAATTATAATCTAAAAATATGTCAACCTTTGGAGAGCAAAAAAACAAGCACAATTTTTACAAATTATTTACATTAAAAAAATTGTTATAATATTCAGAATAAAATATTACGTAAATAATTATTGTACATTTTTTTTTTTATCATATTTATATACAATAAAGGAAATAATAGTGACTTCTTAAATTAATGATGGCATTAAATATTGAGTCCTTATTGTTTTGTATAAAAACTTTAGGTGTAAAGAATTTTCTATTTACATTTATATCTTACCTATATATATATATCAAACATTTTTGTTCTTGTATACAAAAGTACTTTAAGTAGCTTGGTATAACACAACAATATTGTTATACATTATTCAGATATGCCTTATATGAAAACTAACAATGTATTCAGAATTAGTACGTTGAACTGATATAGCAAATGGATCTGTTGGATGAAAAATAAATGCTACTAATCTTCTTGCTGCAGTTGGTGCTGTGCGACCAAACATTCCTGCATACATTTTGAATTTCAAAAGACCCGAATCACGAGCATAAAACCTATAATAAATAAGAAATCGCATATTAATTTACATTGCCTTAATTATAATTAAGGCAATGTAAGATAAATTGAAATAAATAATGTACCGAATAGGATGTTCTCCGGAAGCTTTGGGTCGTTCCATCATAGATACCCATTTGTCATCGTAACAGAATAAAGATAAATCAAGGTATGGAGAACTTGAATAAGACTGAGCGCAAATTGGTAATTGTGCAAGTAACCTTTTCGTAGCTTCTGTAATTCCACCATACCTGGCACTTACTATTGTCTGTTTGAACCTCTGTTGCATTAATCTACAACATTCAATTAATTACTAGTATACATATTTTACATACTCAAGTAATTTTTATATGCCTTTTTTTTTTTTTTTTTGTAGAAGAAAATGTGATACCGAGCATAAATATTATTTGACGGAGAACACATGTATTGGCAATCTGTACTCATTCTAGCATTTCTAAAAAAATCACTGAAGTTTTCAAATTGGGTCAGCAATTGAGTAGATGCATTATCATATACAGCCAAAATTTTAGCAGTTTCCATATTATATACAACAAGGAGAGCTGGTTGTGCATTTGGTTCATTTGCCTGAAGAGTTGCAACTTCTTCACTAGCAAATCTTATAAGTATATGATTTGCATCCAATAATTGCATTTTCCACATTCTTAATGCATTCAACTGAAATATTAGTAAAAATAAAATATAATAATAAATATATATTATTTATAATATTAATTACATATTATGATATAACATACCTGATCAAAATATTGATAAAATCGTCTTAATTCATATGGGTTATTAGTTGTAGCACTTATATATTCTGCCCTTCTATATAAAAATACTAACAATTTGTGTTTAAGGCTGTTTATTCTAGTATCCCTAAATGATCTATAATTTACACCACGCCATGCACCAAATGAAAATAAATAAGTTTCATCTCCCATACAAAATCTTCCTATTAATTTAATATAAATAAACATTCCATTAAGAATTTTAAATACATGTATTGTTTGGTGTTGCACAGATAACACAGCCAGAACATCTTTGTATAAATAAAGACCTAAAATGTAATATAAAATAATTATTTCATATATTTCTATAATATAATAATTTTATACAATTCATTATCCGAACACAAGCATCAATTTGTTTTTCTCAATTTATTCAGATAATCGACACTCTAGTGTATATAATTACCTTGATTATGAGATAAATATATCTTATCAAATTTGAAATGTCTAGTATGACATAATTTTCCATCTCGTATGTCTACTAGATGCAAAGTATAATCCTCAAGTGGAGATCTCGGATTAGGTGTTAATGCTTCATTATTTGAATAGATCTAGAATAATTTCATAAAACAAAAAGTAAAGAAAATTCATAATTCATAATTCATATGCATTATAAATATTTGTTTACATACTTGATAAAAATGAGGCCTGAGTTCATCAGGAATATGTGCTGCAGAACCCACAATAACATAACGACAATCATCCGTAAATAAACTACATTCTCTGTTTAATTGCTGGTTGCATTGAACTACATTAATCGTCCATTTAGCCTATAATTATTTAAAAGAGTATTTAGATTGATATGTATATATATATATATATATATCAAATTTAAGATACATAATTAATAGATAAATACCTTGAAAAATCGATTGAAAACATTGGATCTTATATTAATGTTAACATCATTATTTTTATGTCCTATATATTCTCCTTTAATATCAGCTAAAAGATCTGCTGCTGCAGATGCTCCGCGATATTCATAAACTTCTATAGACGTTTGATCTGCACTAAAAGCTATCAAATATTTTCCATCTGGACTGAATTTTCTAAGAAAACATGGTGGCTTTTCCACATTCATAATTGTAAAATTTGGAAATACATTTTGATAAAATTGTCTAGCATTATGAACATGAGTTCCAGGATATGGACAACCAAATGTTTCTCTTCTTCTAAGTCGTACAACAATATTTTGTGGTCCAAATTTGCGAGGTTTAATGGGAAAAGGTTCTGTCACAAATTCGATTTTACCATTTTCTTCGGCCATTCTATATAATTCCAAAAAGTATACATAACATGGGAATATGATAAATCAAAATACGTTTGTTTACATCAAAAGTTTGCAACATGTATATATAAATGTACGTATATAAGTTCCAATTAATGATAAAAGTCAATTATTCCAAATTTTAATAAATTTTCATTACTTTTTTCTTATTAATACGTAATAAGAAAATACGTCATATTACTAACGCATTTAGAGATTAGTATTTTTCAAATAAAATTTCTAATGTTCGTTGAATAACAATGTAACATTCACTTATTTTTATTAACATTATTAATTATTATTTTTTTTTGTTTTTCAAGATATTAACCACTTATCATATTTATATTTTGGCTTTACAAAACAACGATATTTTTCATGTAACCTAACCTATACTAAAATTCTTATTATACTTGAGTGTATAGTTTTAGAACTAGCTATCACCATATTAGTAAATAACTATAGTTCATTCTTTAGGACTACGAAAAATTTGACCAGTCACTCGAACAAACAAGAAAGAATTAAATTCTACATCAGGAAAGAAAATGTTAAACAAAATTTTCAAATAATCGGCGAACAAGTTCTTCCAGTGGGAAAGATTTTGTTTTCTATTAAATATTTTTTCATTAATTTTAAAAATGAATATGTATAGATAAGGAAAAAACAATTAGTAATATCTAAATGTTTACATTTTATTTTGGGAAGTACATATATGAAAACTAATATCAATTAATGGATAATCTTTTATAGATAAATATTTATATGTATATATAATTTTTTAATATAATTATACACACACATATAATGAACTATAAATATGTATGAAATATAATAAAATATACATGAGTAATAAATTTGACGATGTTTCAACGAGTTTACTGTAGAGTGTGCTAATGCATCAATAAAAATAAATTATCTTATCATTAATTCATTTTAGAAGTGTCATTAATAAATTAATATCATTTATTGCTAAAAAAAAAAAAAAACATGGCAACACGATTAACATCTTTGCCTTTAGTATCTAAAATCACAAATAAGATTATTCGGATTCTTGGATGTAATCCTGGTCCTATGACTCTTCAAGGCACAAATACATATCTTATTGGTTCAGGAACAAGGTGAACAGAATAAGAATTTTTAAAAAAGAAAATATATGAACACATTACTAGTTAAGGATATATTTGTTATCTTAAATAGATATGAAATTCTCTGAGGTATATAAAAATTGCATTGCTATATTTGAAGTATTTAATTATAGGCGTGCATTAATTGACACAGGAGATGCAGAAACATCAGCTGAGTATATCAAATTATTAAAAAATGTACTCACAGAAGAAAATGCAACAATAGAGCATGTAATAGTTACACATTGGCATCATGATCACATTGGTGGTGTAAATTCTGTTAAAGAATTATTAACAACATCAAATTCTAATGGTGATCCACCAACAATATGGAAACTACCTACGTATGAAAATCATCAAGAAATATCAGATCTTACTAAGCAATGTAACTCTTTAAAAGATGAACAAATAATTGAAGTAGAAGGAGCAAAAATACAAGTAAAACATACACCTGGTCATACAACAGATCATGCATGTTTATTATTAAAAGATGAACAAAGTTTATTTAGCGGTGATTGCATCTTGGGCGAAGGTACTGCTGTATTTGAAGATTTGTATGATTATATGATTTCTTTGGACAAAATTTTGAATATGAAACCATCTGTAATTTATCCTGGTCATGGCCCTGTAATAGAAGATCCTGTTCCACGAATTCAATATTATATTCAACATCGACAACAAAGAGAGAAACAAATTTTAAATGCTTTAAAAGAAAATAGCAATTCTAGCTTTATGTCAGAAATGGATATTGTAGAAATTATATATAAGGTAATAAAGTAGTAATAACGTAATCTCTATAATTATGAGTTTACTCTTAATATACACTGTATGTGTATTTTTAGGATACTCCAAAGAATCTATGGCCTGCAGCAGCTCATAATGTGATGCATCATTTACAAAAATTACTTAAAGAAACAAAAGTAATAGGCAAAGAGGGTGAATGGAAAATCTCAGAAAACATAGTTTGATACATAATAACACAAGCATTTAATCATAAATATTGTAAATAATGTATTACCTATAATATAAAATTTGTATATATTAAGAAGACTCTATCGAGCAATGCTGTGAAACATTTATTCAACTTATAGAAGTAACAATAATACAACATACTCATGGGCATTCTTTCAGATGGCAAATTCTTAACACTTGATGTGCGTACACAGTGTACAGTATATATTACAAATAAGTTTCAGTGACAAAGTACATAGCACATAGTACAATGATTTCTTATTTTTGTTGTTGTTGTTGTTATAGTTTTACCATTTGGCTATTTCGCGAGTAAGATGCATCGAGCATCTCAATCGTGAATGCACATGCGTGACCATGAAAATTACATCGGCACATTTAGATGATTGATAATATAAAATATATGTTCTGCTACAAAGATATATCACGACAATAAATGTTTCAATATTTTCCTTATAAAATTCGCATTTATAATATATTAGATAATCTTGGCGAGTATTCGTACTCATAGTACTTATAGCACCCCTTATGAAGAACAAAAGGGAATATATCCCAATATAATTCGATGTTACGCATGCATTTATGTTCATGTCATCATCAACATACGTACATATAAGTGCACATGTGTGTACATGTATATATATATATATATATATAGATTTCGTTAAATCTTCAATAATTTCACTTAACTTCATAATCTGGCCATCCATTCGTTTCTTTGGGTAAATGTAAAAAATATATATATATATATATTTTACATACAAATATATTTATATATATATATATGTATGTGTGTATATATTTCTTCTTTTGTATCTATAACGATATATATATACATATTACGTGGTAAACTTAATTAGTTCCTGTTGCTTGTTATCATAGAGTACTAGTTTTAAACTAACAAGTTTCAACGATAAAGTCACATATCTTGTAGTTTAGAAATTGCTGAAATGAATTCAGTCTTCATAAATTAGATTTCTCTATGTTAAAGAAATTTATCAATCGGTTGAAAATGAATCGTGATATATAGCTATTTTTCTGAATTATTTCAACTTGAAAAAAACTCCAGCTGAAATGCACCATCACCACTCATTATTCCAAATGTATGGTAAAAAATTTGATTGAAAAGAACACGTAACATTTGATTTTAACGCTGTTGAGACTGTGATTTTAACGTGAAAGATGAAGAATGTCCTGAACAACTAACAAAATTTGAAGATGATGATCTACAAAAATTGCGTATCGTTGATAATCCAGCTCAAATATTTTGACAGTTGTTGAAAATATGAAATGTTATTCTAGTGGCCGTTTCACAAATGCTTTTATATCATCAAGAAATAGAATCAATTTTAAAAATGAAGAAGCGACAGGAATTCTTCAGTTAACCACCTAATAACTTATATGAGCTATTATTAGCTATTATTAGCTATTTATCTTCATACTGACATATATAATATATAATCTCTCTCCGTCATTTTATTCATCTAAAAATCATCAATAAAATAGTCAACATGATCACATTATTATTATTATATCATCAGTACTAATTAACAACAAAATATTAATTATTAATCAACGTGTAACGTAAAAAATATATATTATACTTAATATATAATTGTGGAACGAAATAGATAACAAATGATTCATTTTTTATCATGAAATCAAGTCAGAAGAGAGGAAAAAGTAGAATCAAATGATTTCACGGAAACATATTCTAAAGTATATGTATAATGATCTTAAATCGGCTGCACTCAATTCTATGACTGTGGATAGAGATTTCATTTTGAGTGGGGTCAGTATACGCGATTGATTATATATTATATTATATAATTACGACAATTTTTCTTTCTTTCTTTTGTACCATCTCAGTGAAAGAAAGATCAATTCGAGATATTTAGTATGAATAAAGGCACCTGGATACGTGAACATAGATATAGATAAATTAATCAATTATCACATTTGACAATTCGTAAAAAAAAATATAACGAAACCTTAATTGTCGCGCATTATGCGCCCGTCTCACTTAACTCATGCATGCACATTTCGATTGTTCCGGATTTTCAACGGATTGCATCCATACTAATTAATAATAATAATAATAATAATAATAATAATAATAATTATAGTAATAATAATAATAATAATAATAATAATAATTACTCTAACACAATAAGTAATAATAATTATTAATAATAATTATTAATAATAATTATTATCAATTTATAATTAATAATATTTAATAATTAATAATAATTACAATTAGTAATAATTATAATAATAATAAAATCGGACTTAATTCTTATCACACGCAAACTCGTAAATGATATCGTGGCACAAAAATCGCTCATACTGCATTAAAATTAAACGATTTTGACGAACGTCTTGACGAGTCTTCACGAGTCTTCACGATGTATTTATTAAACAGATCGAATATACTCTTCGTATATGATAAAAAAAGTGGCAGTACTAAATTAAAAAGCCACCCTGAGAATCGAAACAGCTATGGTTAATATAATTGAAGAGTTCGTGTTCTGATATGAGTTCCTGAGGTAGCATGTTTCCCACATCTTCAGGCTTTCTCACGGAAGAACCAGCAGCATTTGTTGCTGCGTTTGGTATGGATGCATTGACGTTCTGTCTGTTGGGAGTAACAGGTAATGCAACGGGTGGCGATTTGCTAGCGACTTGCTCAACTATATTATTTTGCCCAGAAGGTGACTTTGGTAAAATCACTTCCATAGCACTGTTCATTAGTTGAGCGCTTTGAGTCGCTACGCTGTTTAGTATATTTTTTGTAGCAATGATTGCATGCGCCGTAGTCGTTGTGATTGGTCGATTGTTGATAATATCTTTCGTAGCATTTGTAATAACGCTGTTAATAGCTTGTTCGGCTGCAGTTGTTAGTCTCTGTTGCGAAGGTTCTTGAGCAGCACCGCTAGCCAAAGCTGAACTTGCTTCTGCCACAAATCCTGCTGGTTGATTCAACATTGATCCAATGTCTTGTTGAACAGCTTGCTGCATAGCTTGTGCCGCTTGAGCCTGTTGTACTGCCTGTTGAACAGCTTGCACTTGTTGAACTACTTCTTGAGTTGCTTGTTGTACAGCTTGTTGTACAACTTCCTGTGTAGCTTGCTGTACAGCTTGTTGAACCGCGGGTACAGCTTGTACTTGTTGTACAGCTTGAACTTGCTGTACTGCTTGTTGAACGACTTGTGCGTGTTGTACAACTTGTTGAACTACTTGTTGTTGAGCTTGTTGCACGGCTTGTACTGCTTGTTGTTGCACTTGAGCTACCACTTGTTCTACTTGTTGTTGTGCCTGTGCAACGACTTGTTCGACCTGTTGCTGTTGTATCACCACAACCTCCTGTTGAGTTAAAGCTTGCATCTGCTGAATATGATCGGCCGTCGTAGCTATTGTTTCATTTGTAACTTGTAGCGTGTTATGAGACGTTGAATTAGGCGTTCCATTTGCGGTTACTGACGATTCTTGTATCGTAACGGGTGGCAAAAGTGCAGCGTTAATTGTTGTGAGTAAGCTCTCATTAGATGGCGACTCTTGAACTGACGCGGAAGACGAGACAGCATTTGCACCCGATTGTACTGACTGCGGAACTGATTGTGGCATCAGAGCTTCGAGCAGCATTGTCTTTACTGGGATTGGTGGACTCGTTCTATTTCCTTGCTGAGGACTGGAAATGGTATCATCGACGTGATTCATCATATTTGTAGAATTTGGATTTACTGATTGCAAAGGCGAAACAATTTGATGAGATTCTGCAGCAGAATTCACTAGCACGTCCAATTTCACAGCTGCAGCTTGCGCGGAAGGTACTAAGAGACCAGTTGGAGATTGTTGAGTCGTTTGTCGATTGGTTGTTATTATGGAGGCTCGTTGCTGCATGGCATCTACAAAGTTACTTTCAGCATTTTCTTGCTCTTTTACTGTAGATACGGTAGATTCGATATGATTCAAATATTCTTCTACACTATGACCACTTTGAGCTGGCAATGGCTGTCCTACAGAAGAAGAAGCGAAGCTAGATAATGCGTTGTAATCGGATTGATGATGCTTCATACGGAGATCGACAACACCGGCACCCTGAAGACTGCCATTGGAAGTGTTTTCTGCTGGCAATATCGAATTAGTATCTTTGTTGATATGATGTGGACTGAGAACTTTAACTTGAGATGATTCATGTATACCTCCGAATGTATTCTGATGAGATGACACCATAGATAGAGGATGTTGATTACGCATTAAATCCACGACACCAAGAAGACTAACAGCTTCTTGTACTGGAGAACCATTCGTTGGTACGGCTACTGATCTGATTATGCTGGATTGTGTGGCTTCTCTGGAATTCTCGTTAACAAGTTGTTGTAAAGGACTTGTTCCTGTTGGACCATTCGCCGTAGGTGTTGGTATACTTTGCATACTATTATCACTAAGCATGCTATTCTCGCTGTTCTCATCCAGTACTTCTGTTTTTAAATTGTCCGGAAGAATTAGCTGCAGATTAGAAGAGGAGCGTCGATTTAAAAGAGGATTCGCTATTAAGGATGGAGGTGGCATCATTACATCAGCTGAGGAATTCTGACAGTTTGATGATTGAGAGGCCCACATCATTACTGGAGTTACTTGAGACGACGTAGCTGCTGGAGGAGGACTTGGGTCACTTTTAAGGGCTTCTGGCGATTGAGTCGGTGCTTGTTGAGACTGCATGGTTGTCAAGAAATTTGATGTTGCTGTGGCGGCAGGAGGTACCAAAGCTGAAAAATATGAAATATTTTTGTAATTTAGAAAATTATTAAATAATATTATTTGACTTTGATTACTCACTGTTGGCGGGGACACCGGTTGTCAAGGTTACTGCTGAAGGAGATGTTGAAAGAGAAGCAGTCTCACCATTTGTTGTAGCGAGTGGTGGCGTAATAGATTCGACTTTACTCATTGATTGTTCAGAAGAAGTGGATGCAGCCGTGTAAAAAAATGTGTGTGGTTCGCTTGTCTTTCCCGAAGACATTGCATAAAGCTTTACGCTTACAGTTTCCGAAGGAGCCAAATCTTGGCGTCTATAA